ATAGTCTGCGCCTCAATTTTCCAGCTATCAGTCAGGAGCCGTGTGATTGGCTGAGGGGGAGGGGCGGGGCTTGGGGGGATACTTTATATGGCTGACTGGTTTCTCTTTGTTCCAGCTCCCAGAATCCACTGGTAGCAGCTTTAATGGTTCATAAAAAAGAGCCTGGTCCCAGTCTGATGACATGTTAGACCAGGTCCCAGTCTGATGACATGTTAGACCAGGTCCCAGTCTGATGACATGTTAGACCAGGTCCCAGTGTGATGACCCAGGTCCCAGTCTGATGACATGTTAGACCAGGTCCCAGTCTGATGACATGTTAGACCAGGTCCCAGTCTGATGACTTGTTAGACCAGGTCCCAGTCTGATGACATGTTAGACCAGGTCCCAGTTTTTGGCCTATCAGTGACGGGTTGGCTCTTCTGTTTTGTTTCTGTGTGACTAAAACAAGGAGCCAAAAGTTTACAGCACAAAGACCGAGTGAAGAGCAGAAGAGGAGGAGGGGGGGGGGTCTGGTCTCCTGGATTAGAAATCCGGCTGGTTAAATTAGGAGGGAGTATTTTTAGCTTCAGCTGGCCCGCCACCCCCCCCCCCCCCCCAGAGGCATTAATTACAGCCGTCCATTCAGACTAATAATACCCTCAGTGATGCTGCTGCAGCAGGCGGGGTAGCATCATTATATCATCATCCTCATCATCAGGCTTCTCTCTGTGTAATGTTCAGACAATCCTCACCTGTGTGCAGCGGGTATAAAGCTTGTTCCTGATTGGCTGATTGGCTCCTCAGCAGAAGTCTTCGGGGAAATGTGTCAGGCGCAAACTGATGTTTTTTAGTTTCTTTAGTTGCTCGGCTTGTTACCCAACCAATCAGCTGATTCTCTCCAGGACTCGCAGCTTCACCTGCTCATAACATTAAAGATCAACATCTACAGAGAGACAGGAGGGACAAACTAGAGACGTAAAAACTAAACTACAGCAAGATCAGGTTTTTTTCTAAGAGTATCGGGCTGAGGTACGACGGCCCTAAAGATGAACTGCAAAAACAGTTCAGTCTGACTAATCAGGTTTGTATCGTTTAAAATAGAAAGATAGAAAAATAGAAAACTGTTCCAACAATAAGGAATGATTTAACTTCATCAGAAAACAAAAAAACTGATGGTCCGGACTAAACCCACAAAAGAAGGCGGAGCAATACGCAGAGTAAATCAGACGGGGTCAAAGAGCCTCACTGCCTCCGTCTACTTTGAAACAACCAACTGAAAACTTCACCCGACAGATGAAAACACTGGATCCATCAGAAGGAAAACTAAGCCACAGCCTCGACACAGTCACAGAACCACAGAGGGGGTTTTACTTCCTGCCTGCTCCTCTTTATGTTTCCGTCAGTGTGACTCAGAACAGACGAGTGTTTCAGGTCAAACATGTTCAATTTTCCATCTTTAAATCTTTTTTCTTACTTCCTCCTGATGTTTTCATCTTTTCTTCTCTTTCTGGATTTATTCACACTCCTCGTCGTTGTTTGTTTTTGGCTCGGCAAAATGACATGTTTGAAATAAAAACTTGTTGTAAAATATTCTGGATGAAGTCTGGTGTTTTAATGTTTTCATTAAAAGTGTCTTAAAATAATTTTCTGGAATGCAAAGAATCAATGTTGAACACTTTCCTGCTGCTGAGCCTCAGAGTCAGTTTGATGACTCTCTTCTGCCCCCTGGTGGCCTCCTGCAGCACCTTCACTCACCTTCCCTTTAAATCACAGATCACAAACTGTTCCTCCATCCACCAATCCATTATCGAGACTGCTTTCCTGTTCGGGGTCACAGAGGGGGGCTGGAGCTCTGATCCCAGCTGTCATTGGGCGAGAGGCGGGGTTAGCCATATTTGATCCCATTTCACTAATTATTCCAGCTTTCAAATTCCCAAACACAGAAACCTGGGACATGCTGAAGTCTAAATGTAGGTCCATTGCCAAAGTGTTTTATGTTTCAAAGCTTTTCTACCTGAATTCTACAGATTTGATTTATTTTCTTGCCTCTCAGAAAAAGTAAACTTCCTGCCCGGCTCTCTTCTTCTTTCACTCTGACCTGACTTCTTCATTTCAGCAGCAAACTTTTTCTCAAAGTCCAAACCTGCATGGAGCAGCACTTTTTTCAGTTCCTGTCCCTCCTGGTTGTTGTTCAGATGAAACTTTAAAGAATTCGGCTGTGAGCAGAAATCCTCTCCGACTGAAACTCAAACAGAGTCCAGAGAGAGACGAGCTGCTGCTGAGTCGGGACTTTTGAAGAAGTAGAACAACACGAGTTCAAACTTTAATCTCTAAACTTCATCGGAGCCTGAATAAGTGAAACTGGAGGATCGATATCTGAACATCCTCCTCTTTTCTTTCACTATATAACTGTCTTTATTGAAAGCTTAAAGGTAAATAAAGGATTTCTTCTTCTAAAATCTTTTTGTCCTGAACGGTTTCCCCATTTTTTTCCAGTTTTGACTCATAGAGATGTGGTATTTTGGATTTTATTTGAGTTACGGTGTCGTTTAGAAAGTCTGAAATGTTAAAGTACAACAGGAGACGAGTGTGATGGGAGGCAGGTGTGATTAATCAGGTGACAGGTGAGAGTGATCAGAACCAATCAGAGAGCAGAGATCCGGGCCTGGCTCTTTCAAAGGATTCAAATCCAGATAAAAAATAAAACAAAAATCAGTATTTGGTCATTTGCTTTTGTCTTCCCAGGATCAGATAATCCAGTTTACTTTAGTCCAGATTTTAAAAAGTGGATAGGACCAACAAGATCCAGGCTCCACATGATTCTAGACCAGGTCTCCACTGGTCCAGAATGATCGTGAGCCGTGATTCTGAAAACAGGAATCATCTTGATTCTGGACCAGTGCGGACCTTGGTTCAGAATCAAGATGATTCCTGTTTCAGAATCACGGCTCGAGATGATGATTCCTGAACAGGGTCGACCTGGTCCAGAATCATCATCGTGAGCCCTGATTCTGGAGCAAGGTCGGCCCTGTTCAGGAATCATGAATCAAGGATTCAATTATGATTCTGGACCAGTGTGCAGACCTTGTTCCAGATTCATCGAAGTCAGGATGATTCTGAGACCAGTACGGACTTGGGTCCAGAGTTCCCGGCTCAAGATGATTGTCTTGAGTAAAACCTCTTGACAAACGTTGACTCAGCAGAACTTCTCGGTGGGCAAGTTAGCAAATAAAACTTTATTATGCCTGCACAATCTTACGGGACTGAAGGTTAACATATCAAAGAGTTCAAAGTCATTTCATTCATTCTGATACATACAAAAAAACACTAGAAAATGTCACTCTGTGATAACGTCTCACTGATACAGCTCCTCCTGGACTCTCTCTCTTTTCACATTCACAAAATACACAGGTCGCTTCACCGCTTCCTGTGGTACAAAAAAAACGTGTTGCTGAAGTTTAAACTCTCCTCCCGCTCTCTCCACTATAAGACCGTTTTCTGTCAAAGAAAATCAAATCAGGGAACAAAGGTCTGAGAATAAATAAAATCAAAAGTGTTTTGTTTTTTGTCTTTAACTTGAAGTCACAGCAGCTCGCCACGATCCAGCTCTGTAGGAAGAAACCGTTTGAAAACACCTGATCCGCCAGACAATACGAGAAACAGGCGGATTCTGTTCTCAGAGCGTTCCAAATAATCAGATTTCACAAAATTCAGAGAAGAAAAAAAAGTGGTTTTGTACAAATTTGATTTGATTTTGTGAAAATGATTGTCTTTATCTGAACTGACACTACATTAACTGAGGTATGATATCTGGACCTGGACCTGGACCTGGACCTGGACCTGGATCATATGTGGAGCTCAAGATGATTCATTTGATCTTGATGATTTAATGGTGCGTTCCAATTGATCTCAAAAGTCGGAAATTCCGAGTTCCCGGTCTGATATGTCGTCAGAAACGCCTGGTTTTAAGCAAAAACAAAATTGTTGCATGTTCAACTTGTTGCCAACTCGCAACTGGAACGCCGTTATCTCGGGTGTGACATCATTCCAAGCGCCGAGGTAAATGGGACGCACCACTTGAGATTAACGTCTCATCTTATATGAACAAAATACAAAAAGATGCTCAATCAAGATACCAACCAGCAAAAAAAAAACATGCTGACTCAGCAAACAAGATACTGACTTGTTCCTTTTAACAGCTAAGTCTTTATGTGAGATCCAGATACTCACATTTGCAGACAAAGACACTGACTTACGGAAACCAGAATCCCAAAATGTGCACGCAAGATTCTAACTTGAGCCAGCAAGATACTAATTTGTGTGTACAAACCTGTGGGTGAGTTATCCTTCACATGTCAGAGAGTAACTTGTGCAAGACAAGATACCGACCTGTTCAACCATCGCTGCAAAAACAAGATACTAATTTGTTGTCCAAGATACAAAATGATGAATGATGGTTTCATGTGCCAACAAGATTCAAACTCTGAGAACCAGTACTGACTCGTTCAAACATACTTGTCATCTCTTTTAAGTCCCTTCTTAGAACACACTTTTTCCGGCGCGCCTTTCCTGATTTTTGTTGATTTTAAATTGCTACTATTTTCACTTTTTAGAATTCCTTTAAAATAATTGTATGTATTTTACAGTTCTTTTAAAAAGGGATTTTATTTCTTAATCTTGCCTTGTTTATTATTCTATTATTTTATATTTGCCGTCCTTGTAAAGCATTTTGTAACTTGTTTTTGACAAGTGCTCTATAAATAAAGATTATTATTATTACTTGTGCACACAAGATACCAGTTTGTGTGATCAAGATACTTACTTGTGAATACATGGTTTCAGCTTCACGATGGTAAGCCAACAAACTCTAGCTGAGATAAGCTGTTTGTCCCCAAGTCAGTATCATGCTCTATCTTGTTGTATCTTGTTGTATCTTGTTGTATCTTGTTATTCCCTGATGTTAAACTTGAGGACACTGTTTGTCCTTCTCGTCTGTCAGGACGGTTTACAATTGACCGTCTGTGTGAAGTACAGCTCAAAGTGTTGTAAAGGATTGTGTGATGGCGGTCAGACAGATTCATCCAATAACAGAGAGTAGAATCAGTCTGCACAGGTCACATTCATATTCAACAGGTTGTGTTCAAACGTGTGAATCTGCAAACTAAAAGGAGGTAAACCTCCGGAGAAACAATCTCTGTGTCAGTGTGAGTTCTGAAGCTTTGGTGTCGTTTTCATGAATGGTAAAAACATAAAAAGTATTACAGCTGTAGATGCAGTGCTTTGTGTCTCTGAGAGCATGAAATGAGAACAGAATCAGAACACAGCGTCTGAAACAGGAAGTGAACAGTCTCTGAGTCTTCAGTGCATGAGGGGTGTGAGGAGCTGCAGCAGAGGAGATGAAGAGTTCAGGGTTTAAGGGACGGTGACGTGGAAAGGACTGCCGGGGACGTTCTCGTCTCCCCATTTGACGATGAGGATGTAGCTGCCTTGTTCCTTCACGGTGTACGTGACGTTGTACATCCTGCTGCCCATGTGTTTGACGTACACCTCTTCACAGGGCGTCTTCGGCCCGTGGACACCGACCATCAACATGTTGGTGCCTGCAGAGTGAGAAGTGTAAAGATTAGCTGCTTTCACACATGCACAAAACTCCTGAAAAACTCCTGAATGTTTCTCCTTCAGTCTCCTCGTATTTTTGTAGGCCAACCCGGAAGTAGCATCGCCATGGGGCCTAACGAGAATTCGCCTTTGGGATGTTTGCATTGGATTTTGAATCATTGCAGAAAATGAGCTTTGTGGCAAACACACGTTTCTGAAGCATAGGCAGGATAATCTTCACAGATGAACGCCATTTTTATGATGTTTGAAGCGTTAATGCGGCCAACAGAAGTAAAAAGCTAACGTTACGCTAAAGCTAACTACACCACGGTCGGATGATTGTGACGTCACTAGCGTTATGCTTCAGACGATCTCCGATAAACTAATCCACGTAGCTTAATAAATAGTTTCCTAACATAATATTCACCTTAACCTAAATATTAAACCTACAGGAGACATCTCCGACTAGTGAGAGAGTTCCCGCCCTCTGTGTCCGGCGTGATGACCTTTAATGTCCCCGACAACCACTGTAGTCACATTTAGCCTCTTGTTAGCAACCGCCTTTTTAAAGACGCATAAAAACTTCAAAATTCACAAGTGGAGGTATTACCTAACGTAGTTTATGTGGTCTAACAAAACGCCAACATCTCTTCAGCTTGTGTTAACCACAGACCTTATTTCAGGCGTCTAACCACAAACCCATTCAAAATCCCCGTTGACTTTTAGACATTAGACCCCATGGCGCTCAAATGATAACTTACTTCAGGGTTTTAGGACTCATTCCTGTGGTGCTCTATACACCTTGAGCCAGTGGGAGGGGCCAGTGGGAGGGGGTGGTGACCTTTATTCCCTGTGATCACTGCACAACCATAGACTGTCTGCACGCCACCTCTACCATCTCCATGCTCTAATGAACCTGCTGCATTATGTTTCCTGTTCTCCAGTATGTTCTTCTCCACTCTTGAGTTCACATTGTGAATCTGATGAACTACACATTGCATTGATATAAAGACACACATTCTAATTTCAGCGTCTCTTAACTGACTCTGTTCCTCAGTTTTTCCTCACCTGCTTTGCTGCAGTCAACTGTGAACGTGTTCTTCTGACCCACAAACGCCTTGGACAGCCCGGCGCCTCTGGAGACAACTTTACTGGCGTCTGAGGAGAATTTGGGTAGCGAGGCGAAGGCCCCTCCCATCGCCGACGACTTAGTGACGGTTTCCACGAGGACAGATGACGTCTCGTGCAGACTGTGACCTCCGGCCAGACGAGGACCTGCAGAACATAAAGTAACATGACTCACTCAGTGGAGATAACCTCCAAGCAGTCCATCGGGTTCTGGTCCAATTCCACCAAAGATAATCCCAGCTGGACTCTGGTCCATTGACCCACCTGTCACTTTGGCCTTGAAGGGGCTGCCCACGATATGCTGGGGTCCTCCGTACTTGATGGAGATCAGGTAGCTTCCAGGAGCCATAGGTGTGTATGAGACCTTGTAGCCCTCAGGACACTCCTGACAGTCCATCTTCACCTTGGAGGGTCCATCGATGGTCACCGAAAGAGCTCCTGAGCCGGCGTTACACGTGTTCACAACAAACTCTGAAGCCACACCTGGAAAAAAAAGAGTCAAAAACACGATGAATGCCATTCAAATCTGTTTAGGAAAATGTTCCTTGTCCTCAGGGTTAAATTGAGCTCATACCAGTGGTTCCTCCTTCCAGTCCTGGTCCAAAGGCAGACACCATGCCAGGATCGCCAACCTGTCCCGGTTCTCCAACTCTTATTTTGAAGGGGCTTCCAGGAACATGGCTGCCGTTGAAACGAACGTCGATTGAATGTACTCCGTTTTCCCTCGGGATGAACCTGATGGCGTGCTGGTCTGCGAATAAACATGGTCGACAAATGGACGCTCATAATGGGCTCTGACTGTAACCATGACGATTTGCTCATAGTGTTCTGTGTTGAAAGAGTTCTTACAGTATAAGTTACTGTCATGACACCAGAGTTTTAAACCTTTGTTTTGTATGACAGAAATGATGTCAAGATCGCTACAAAGACAAAGTTACCAGCCGAGATTGTTTGATGATTCTGCCGCTGATCTCCCCCAACCATGAGTCTTACCACTGTCCAGCTCGGTGATGTAGCACTCCTCTATCGCTCCTGATGGAGTGTGGATCTTCGCATCGATCACACCTCTGGCTCCGTTCAGCTGGACGGCAAAGGAGGCCTCCTGCCCGACTTTCAGACCCATCTCCTGATCAGGACAGACGACGAGAAGACGAGGGGTTCATATTTAATCTTTACTACAAGCTTTAAGAACTATCTCTGTCAACATGGTTTTGGTTTCTTTAAGATTTATTTTTGGGGCTTTTTGTGCCTTTATTGGAGAGATAGGAAAGAGGATAGAGTCAGAAGTCAGGAAGAGAGAGAGAGAGAGAGTGGGGAATGACATGCAGGATAGGAGCCACAGGTCTGACCCTGGGCTTTGAGGACTTCAGCCTCCATACCAACCACTGTGCCACCAGCGGCCCTGCATGGAACTGTTTTTAGTCTATGTTAAATAAATGACTAAATAAATACTTCCATGTAAATAGACTTAATTGCATGACATTATCTGATGTTAATCTGATGTTTAACTTTAGACTCAGGCTAAAGGCTCATTAGTGTCTGAATATCAGAATATATAAACACAAATCTGAAGTTTAAACAGTAGGATGGAGGTACACTGACACACATGAGCACTGAAGCACACTCAGAGCAGAGCAGCTGGTCACACACTCATAATAAATTTATTCACAGTAAATTAAAGTGTCACCTTTGATATAGCAGACAACACGTCAGGAGGTTAACAGGGTGCCTTTCATACACGAGTGACCTCAGCTGGCTCCATATGAACTGATTCATTGAATGAAAGGTTTTAGATTTCCTGTTCTCTCACCTGCAGGCTGGTGATGGTGAGGCGGCGAGAGTCGTCAGACAGGGTGGCGATGGGGACGATGAACGGGGAGTCTGGGATGTGTTCATCATTGAACTTAATGGAAACCTCGTAGTCACCTGGAGAGAAGGGATAGCAGAATTTCTTTTATTTATTTAGCTCTGTGTGAATGTGTGTGTGTGTCAATAGATATGTAGAGCTGAGTGTCGTCTGCATATCGACAAACAGTAGCTCTGTGTGTGTGTGTGTGTGTGTGTGTGTGTGTGTGTGTGTGTGTCAATAGATATGTAGAGCTGAGTGTCGTCTGCATATCAACAAACAGTAGCTCTGTGTGTGTGTGTGTGTGTGTGTGTGTGTGTGTGTGTGTGTGTGTGTGTGTGTGTGTGTGTCAATAGATATGTAGAGCTGAGTGTCGTCTGCATATCGACAAACAGTAGCTCTGTGTGTGTGTGTGTGTGTGTGTGTGTGTGTGTGTGTGTGTGTGTGTGTGTGTGTGTGTGTGTGTCAATAGACATGTAGAGATGAGTGTCGTCTGCATATCGACAAACATTAGCTCTGTGTTTATGGATCCTTCTTAACTAAAGAATGAATAGCTGGCCCAGTTTTGTGTTCTTTAATGGGTCCCTCCTTTAAGAATTTTTACATAAAACCTCTGCAGACATTGAGATCCAGGTTTTCTTATATCATTGTCTATGTTAGAGCTTAAATCCAGAGCCTGGTGTAGAGTCTCACCTGGCTCCTGAACCACATAGGCCACTCCACAGGATCCATCCTTCCTGTCCTCAAAGGTGATCTCAGCCTTACTCGGCCCCTCCACAGCGATGGACAGACCTCCAGCTCCGGCTTCTCTGGTCCAGATACTGAACTCCGCTGGATTAACACACACTCACATTCATCACCATCAGAAAGAAAACACAAACAGGGAAAGGAATAATGATGATTTTGTTTCAGCCCACCTGGGATCCCTGCCACTCCTCGGTCCAGACCGGTTCCTCCTGCTCGCACCTTGTGGGAACCTCCCTCACCCAGGGGCCCCACGGTGAACTGGAAGGGGCTCCCAGGGACGTGTTGGCCCCGATATTTCACATTGACAGTGTGAGCACCCATCTCCTGAGGGATGAAGCGCACGCTGTACGTGCTGTCCTCTCCTTTAATGATCTCTGCATCCTCCGTCCTTCCATCAGGACTCGTCACCTGAGCTGTCATCTCCTGGTTACCTGCCTCACCTGAGAGCACGAGGGGGGAGGGGGGAAGAAGAAGGGGGGAGGAGCGAGAGAGTGAAATAAATACAAAGATTCCTTCAGGTGGATTCAGTTTGAATTCAGTCTAAAGAGTTAGAGAGTGTTTATAAAACATGCAGGAAACGTCCTTGTTAGTTTATCAAGTAGATCTTTCCATTAACACTAATTTTTCTTGTGCTGAGCAGTAAGACTTTAAATCATAAGTTCAGTTTTTAGTAAGATTATAACAGAGTTTTACAGTCGCTGTTAAACACTTGGCTCCTTAAAGTAAGAAACAATAAACACACAAAAACTCAGTGAATAAGACACAAACACATTATTCTGATGAGTGTTAATAAATACAATTTCAAAGTTAAACACTGAAGTTCACACAGGTTCACTTCAAATCTAGAGTGAAAGTAAAAGCTTTTAGTAAATAAAACAATTCAGTAATTAGTGTAAAATTAGGCTGGACAAAAAAAAGAAGGCATTAAAGGGCTGAAGGAGAATAACATTCAACTAAATAAAAACTTTTGCAAACAATTCACTGAGATTATTTGTCAAGCGATAGTTCTGTTTTAAAACAACAGATGCTTTCAGGCATCCAAATCAGGACACCCACATGCAAAAACCAGGTTAAAAAAACACTCCAGTTAGACGTTTCTACATGCACAAACACTTTAAATCTGTTTTTTTATCATAAAGTTAGAGCAACAACATCACACACTCGGCCACACACACACACCATCCTGCAGCGGCGGCCGGCTGCCGGCCGGCATGCCGTTGAAGCCACTCAGATTCTCTCGTCCCAGGAAGTCTCCAAACACGTCTCTGAAGGGTTCTCCTCCCACCTGCGTGCTCTCCTCCACCCTCACCTCCCTCTTGGTCTCCCCCGCCTGTGTCTTACTGATCTCGGTGCGCTCGGTGCGAGTGTAGGTGTGACTGCTGCGAGTGAACGTGCGAGTCAAACGCTCCTGAGCCGACACCATGTGGAACCAGTTCCCTAAAAACCAGCAGGGGGGGCAGCAGAGTGGAAACAAGATGGGGACGAAGAGAAAAGGAGGTGAAGAGGAGGAAGCAGGGGAGGACAGGTGCAGACAGGAGCAAACAGGAAGTGATGTCACAGCTCACCTGGTATTTTGAGGTTGAGATCACAGGTGCTGCCCACAGTGGCGATGGAGGGAGCCTGACGCTTCCTGGTGATGCTCTCCTTCATCCGGCCCTCCCCAAACACCTTCACTGTGAATGGACTTCCTGTTCCCCGCCAAAATAAAACCCAATTCAAGAAACAAAGTACCTCCAAAGATGTCAAACCTCAATACAATTCAAGAATTGGCTGGAGCCTGGTTGGTACCTGGGACGTGCTGGTCAGCGAACTTGATGTTGATGATGTAGTTTCCAGGTTCAGTTGGACAGTAGGTGACTTTACACGTCCCGTCATCCACGTCCTCACAGTTAATGTCCACTTTACTGGGACCCTCGATGGACAGACCGAGCCCGCCATAACCTGAGCGCATACACAGGAGTTACAAATAAATAAGAATTACTTTACATTACATTATTAATGGGTTATAATGTTGAAATATATGTATCAATATTCATAAAGGAAGCAGAAGTTAGCCTTTGGTCGCACCTGCGTTCCTGGTGTCGACAATGAACTCAGCCACCTCAAAGGTGTGTCCCTCCACCAGCCCCTGACCGTACACCTTCACCTTACTGGCGTCTCCGATCTCTGACTGACCCACCATGATCTTAAAGGGGCTGTTGGTCACATGTTTCCCGCTCTTCTTCACACTCACCACGTGTTCGCCCACTTCCTTTGGTGTGAATGAGATACCTGAAGGAAGGAGGAACTTTATGAGTGTTTTCATCTTTAACACAGAAGTTTTACATTTAAGAATAAATCGAGTGTGACGCCAGGCTCGTCTCAATGTTGAATGCTGACAAACTCTCAGCAGTAAGAACTTACCGATGTGTCTGTTGGGCAGCCTCTTCAGCAGACACGGCTCCTCGTTTCCAGACGGCGCTCTGATGCTCGCCGTCAGACTGCTCAGGTCGGTCTCCATGATTTTCAGAGAGACGTCTGTTGACGTGCCAACGTTAAGCTGAGACGTCCTCATGGCTTCATCACCTGGACGTCGATCAAAGATTTTACACTTGGGTTAAAAAAAACAACTTGAAGAAAGATGTGGAAACTATAGCATCTTGAAGAGCGGCGGTTTAAGCTAGTTAGCTCTGGTTTATCAGACTTGTCAGTGCACGTGTTCTTTAAAGAAGACTTAGAGAATCTTGTAATAAAGCTTCATACTTAGAACGACCTCCAAACACATCGACAAGGTTAGTTTGTCTATCAGAAACACAATTTATATTCCCGTCTGAAATGGTCTAGCATTCAGTTTTTATGAAAGTTGGAGTACCTGTGATCTTGGCCGTGAACGGGCTGCCCGGGATGTGTTTGTCATCAAACTTGACGATGATGTTGTAGTCTCCAGGCGCCGTGGGCAGGTAGGACACAGTGCACGTCCCGTCTTTGTTGTCCTTACAGCTGATCTCTGCTTTAGAGGGACCTTCAACAGCCAGAGACAGACCACCTGCACAAAGAGTCAAACCAGGATGTTGATGAACACTTCCTCCTGACATGTCTTAAAAGAACTACAAAACATTGAGTTTACTACTGCTGTGTTTTATGTTAGTGATACCTTCTCCGGCGTCTTTAGTAACGATAGTGAAAGTTGCCGGTCGGTTTATCGTCCCATGACTCAGACCAGCGCCATAAGCAGTCACATGACCGCTGTTAATGGCATCAACATAGAACTGGAGGGGACTTCCTGTAAGAGAAAACATGAAGTATTAGAACAGGACTAATTAATGCAGCCCAGGGTTTAGAACAATCATCCGATCTATCTAAAGGTAAAGCTTTACGCTGATGATACTGTCATATTCATCTCCAAACACAGAGACCTCTGGTTGGATGAATCCTTCCTGCTGCAGCTGAGACTAAAAACCAAAGTAAACGTGTGTTTGTGGTGTTACCTGGGATGTGGTCTCCGTCATATTTGATGTCCATCTCATGCAGGCCTCGTTCTGTTGGCGAGTATTTCACAGTGACCGTGCCGTCTTTGTTGTCCGTGATGTTAGGGATGGCGGTTCGACCAGACGGCATCCGCACCTCACCTGAAGGCCGACATTAAAAAAGTAATCCATAAATAAGAGTTTTTATGACTTCAATCCGACATATTCAATCCTCTGACACGTTGTCTGTGAGCAGTGCAGACCGACATGTTCTCTCATTATGACCAACACACGCACACACACACACACACACACACACACACACACACACACACACACACACACACACACACACACACACACACACACACACACACACACACACACACACACACACACACACACACACACACACACACACACACACACACACACACACACACTAGGATTTATATTGATTCAGTCCACATACTGCTGCTCTAAATACTCATGAAGGCATCCAGGGGTGGAGTCAAACTTTTTACTGGGGGGGACATGACTAAACCCATAAAATAATTTTTTTATCTCTGTCAATAAAAGATCAGGCAATGATTTTTCTTGTACTTTCCTGGACCCGAAAGCGTCCCATGAGGCCCGCAGAATATAAATTATCTCGTTTGATTAAATGATTCACATAAAATCCCAAGGCTGAAATACTCGCATTAGGTGACAGCTACGTCTTTACATCGTGCTTGACAGCTTTCAGGCATATTTGCAATCATATTTTAAAGTCTGGGCCCCAGCAGTGTCTGTTAAGAAAAAGTCTGTTCCGATTCCAAACAGCAGGTTTGTAAAGAAATCTCCATCACATTCACACCAGCACAGAACTGTTTCAAAGATAATGATCCTTCCAAATGATTACATGCATGTTATCTTTGTACTGAGCAGACTCTGACTCTGAAACCTCGACATGCAGAACATCAGATTTTAAAACCCCATCTGTGAGCTGAACATTGTAAAAGGTCACGACACAAACGGAGCAGCTCCTACCTGTGATCTCTCCTTTCTGCACGGTGAAGGGAATGACCAGGCTGAAGGGGCGGAGCATGGGCTCCATCCCATCCACGGGGCTGATGGGATCATCTGTGGCCTAAACAGGAGCCCAGGAGGGGAGGGGCGTTAGTGACACCATACTGGGATGTACTGGGATATATACTGGGATATGGTCCAAAGAGAGAAGGGAGGAGGGAGGAGGGAGGAGGGAGCAAAGCAGGACGGCAAAGAGGCTGAGGAAGCATCAGAGGATGCAGGAAGATTTAGACCTGAAATAAACGAGGCGATGCCTTGGAGCAAGTTCAGGCAGTCATCTCGAGCTGCACTGATTCCACATCCTCAACAATCACCTGACATATCTACTGTTGAGTCTGAATCTAACAGGGGACATACCTACACCTTGTCACAGCAGCGTTCTGCCACAGCAACTCTAAATAATGAGAACATTTATACGAGGATTGAAGCCAAAACAGAGTTACGCTTGTGTAGTGGCTATTTGTCCAAAAACAAAAAAATCTAAATAAACTAATATCAAACGTAATCAAATGACCACTGATGCACCATGGGGATGTGATGTACGAGATGCAAGAGATCTACGTTTTTTTTGGTGGTTTATTTAAAGAAAGCAAACAAAAGAACAAACAAAATCGTGACTCCTGCTGCCTCTCTTGCGCTGATAAAATACAATAGGCCCACCCAGGTGCATGCTGGTCCTCCACCTGCCTCTTACTTAAATAACCTCTGGTGCCCACAGTGTTACCCAAATACCTAACAAAAAATACTAATGCAAAACTAAATTTACTACACAAATAACTAGCAAAAGAAAATATTACCCAAAATCTACTCTAAATAAAGAAAACATGTCGAATAATTAAATAAACAACACCACCCAAATATTAGTAAACTAAATACCAAAACTAATTCTAACAACAATTAAATAGCTCCAACAGCTCGAGTAACCTTCCAAAGTAATTAGTTACTCATAAATCTGTAACAAGTTACTAATTCTCAGTAATGTTCCCAACACTGTTAAAAAGTAGTAAGAACGTGAAAACACATGGAGTCTACCTGTATGAATTGGCGTTCTGCACAAGTGAGAGCTGAGCGTCATTATGAAATTCAGAAACATGAAAAACTCCAGAGATGTAGAAACTAATGTAGCTGATCAGTTTACACATTACCCCCCCTCCCTCCCCCTCCCTCCCTCCAGCAGCAGAGGGAGGATCATGCAGAGAGAACATGCAGCACCATGCAGAGACAATCAGATAATCTATAGGTGAATGTGGGTTGTTATTGACGGGCGGGTCGGCCTCGGTAAAACGACAGTAAAGTGCAAAAGAGGAAAAGTTTGAATGAGCAGCAGCTGTACGGACTGTCATGTGTACCCATGGAGGGGAGAAGCCCGCATAGGGAGAGTAAGACGCCGTCTGTAACTGAAGCTTGTCACATGGTTCCTCTATTATTGGGACGGTATCACACGCCTGACAGGGAACAAGGTACAACCTTTAGGAAAACACACAAACACACACACACACACACTTCCATGCACAAACACGAGCACATCAATGTTTATTTTAATACTTCTAATGTTTTTGTCCACTTTAGACGTTTACCTTCAATCTTAGGAAATTAAAAACAGTAAATGACCCGACAGGATTTCTGTTTATGTTGCTATGGTAACCAACAGGTGTTGATATGGCGCTGTCACTCACCACCACGTGGAACGGGCTGTCGGGGATGTTCTCTCCTCCAAACCGGATGGTGATGACGTATTTGCCGGGCTCCGGCGCCGTGTAGTAGATGTCAAACGTCCCGTCGGCGTTCTCCACCACATCCACGTCCAGCTCCGCCCCGTCAGGAGTCGACACCTTGCAGGTGACTTTACCTTTCCCAGCAGCCTTTGCATCCACGGTGATGACCGTCTCCTCCCCGATCTGGATGGTCGGCCCGATGCCTGATCCTGATGGGACGGATAACGGGATCAGGACGTCGGTCAAGATAAAGCATCTTTACTTTTATTCTCACAGCTCAGCAAAAACTCAGCTTATGTTGATGTGAAGACAAACTGCTCCTTAGAACTACAGGAGTGCAGCAGGGTCAACAATAGGACTACTGAGAAATCCTCTGAGGCTTTATCCTTGCAGAAGCTAACTACTGATGTGGCTAACAAGAAGCTAGCACCGGTAACTCAGAGGTTTGTGGTGGTGCGGAGGTCGACGAGTGCAACAGTTCAGCCACTGCAGACGTGAGTGTAGTTAAGAAATACCGCTGCATGTTCAGAAACGATGTCAACTCTAAAACAAAAATACAACAACTGAAATGTGCTGCTTATTTACTTTAGCAACCCACTGAATTAGCAACTGACTTGTTTTTGATTTCAGTGCTGGTTACGACTCTTTAAAATGCAGACTGTCTTTGCTTTATCTAGAAACCTGTTGCTTCCTGATCCATTCATCCTGCTTAATATAAACAGTGCAGAGACAACTCTCAATAGAGGTGATAAAAGAAGTGAGATGTGTTACACTTCATCCAGAACAAAGAAGAAGGTCAGAGCGACTCGCTTCAAACACGAGAGGTGTAAAAGTGTTTATGCTCGGTGTGGTGAAGTCTAAACTCACCCGGTCCGTGTCCTCCGATCGACACTGTAAGAAAACAAGAGAATCATGTTTTGAAACTTTCAGGTCATAAAATATGATTGGCTACAGAGTTGCGGTGGGCGGAGTCTGACCTGTGACCAGACACTTGCTGGCGTCTCCGGTGGGCAGGGCGTGAATGCGGTAAGGCGAGTACGGGATCTCGTCTCCTCCGTATTTGATGGTGATGGTGTAACGGCCCGTCATGTCGGGTACGTAGGACACTGTGTACGTCCCGTCTCGGTTGTCGCGGATGTTCGCCTTCTTGGGCTTTCCCTCGGGATCCTGGGACACACGGACAGGAAGTCAGAGTCCACAGCTGGACAGACAAACATCTGGAGTACTGGCCATCAGTGGTCTCAGTGTGCCGTCGTTGCTCGCATTCTGACGGGCGGACGCTGGCACATTGGGACTTTTGTTTTGGTTGCCGTGGTTACTAATAGGTATCAATATCTTTTGATTTTTATTAGAATCGTGTCAAAGTTTATCAGCGCTAAGCAGCTTTAATAGGAGCATAAAAAGGGGCGGGGTTTGAAGATGTGGAGACCAGTGGTGTTCACAGTACTCGTGTACTGATTGAAATGTCACACGGGGTCTAACTCTACTGAATGAACAACTGAGGAGGAGGAAGAGGACGAGGAGGAGGGATGGAAGGAGGCAGGTTTATGAAGCACTCCGGTTAGTGGAGGACTGAACACCACGTCTGTCTGTTAGATCATTAAACAAACTGAATGGAGGTCAGTTCCGATGGAGACCACAGAGGGGGGGGAGAGGGGGTGGAGGCTCTTGACTAAATATGTGAAGCTTAAGCTGATCATGTTGCGTTTGAGCTTCTTCTAAGAACCTTCATTTTCAGGAAACGTCTTGATCTCAATTTGAGATCAAACTTCATTGTTGACCTTTGACCTTTGACCTTTGAAAGTGATATAACTATCATCACTGTAAGTTTAGTATCTGTTCTGGAGCTTTCAAATACTCTCACATCTTCTTTACTAAAAACCAACTCTGATATGATTCTAGTAAAAATCAAACAAGAGCCGACTTTACCAGCTGCTCTCTGAACTTCAGTTTCTTTTAAGTCGTTCAAACTTCTCTTGAGATGTTGAGAGTCTGGTAATTATTGACATGTGATGGATTGAGAGCTTAAGAACAGTGACTCGATGCACCGCTGAGTTGTGTTTTAGGTTTTACTTTTATCCGCAGAGGAAATAAAACAAACGACCTAAAAATAGAAATTAACTAAGTTCCCTCGATGCACAAAACAAAAACACAGTAAATAGGACAAGGCCTAACTAGTCTCTGATGATTACTTCCTCTGTTTTAAGTGGATATGAGTAAGGGAGGAAGGACATGAGAGGGGGGGAGTATGAGCAAGCGGATGGGGGGGGGGGGGGGGGGGGGTTGACAGTGCCGGCCTTACACAGCCTCTCCTATGAATACTGAAGGGGATGGTTTTCTTTACTATATGAGACTCCCACACCCTCCTGCCCCAGTCCTCCACAAACACAGAGGCCTCGCGCCTGCACCCATCCGGACCCTGCAGGGACAGCATCATCAAGCCCCCCCAGACACCGGCACAGGACGCCACATGGAGGGTTTGAGTCGGGGGTTAAAAACAGAGAGAGTGTGAGAAGGGTAAAGGTGCAGAACCTCAAAGAGTCAGGTCATCTTAGTGTGTCCACTTCTCATCTATAAAAACTGACCAGATGTTGTTATTTAGCACCAGTCTATCCGACCAAAACAAACCATCCCACCCCTCCCTCAGGTCACCATGTTTACATGTTTGACAAACTGGATTTGTTGTGTCAGTGCAGCTAAAACTAGAATTTTAAAATCCATGATGGACGGGCCGAAATGGTACTCAGTTGATTTCTCAAAGTTGGACTAACACACTTTTAATGGTTTTAGGGATCTACTCTTAATGTGGACGTTAACCTGTGACTCACCAGAATCTGCACGGTCAGCAGCCCCTCCCCGGCGTCTCTGGCATCAATGGTGAACTCCACGGGCAGACTGGCCGAGACTCCAGATGCATTCAGACCAGGACCGCTCGCTCGGACTTTACTGGCATCGTGAGCCGGCAGCGTCTTGATCTTAAAAGGACTGAGAGGAGAGAGGAGATCATTTAAAAAAAAAATGAGGACCCTATACTGATGATGTTTCTTTATGTTCCTCTCTCTCTCCTTTACTGACCTGCGAGGGACTTCCTGTTCGGCGTACTTCACACACACAGTGTACGGGCCGTCATTGGAGGGCGTGTAGTTGACTGTGTGAGTACCATCTCCATTGTCGGTGATGCTGATTGGCTCAGACACACCTGAAGAGTAACCAGAATGGTAAATTCTATTAATACTGTCAAGGGTTTTGGGGGTTTTGACAATAATGACAAAATGTAGCTCCCCTTCATTTCTTTAAAGTCTTTCTATGTGATGTTTCACACTTAAATATAATATAAATCAAGTATATCCTCTGAAAATAACTCTGTGAGTCATGACTGTCTACAATGGGTGTAACACCCGAGTACCACTGTCTGTGATGTTTTCAGAGTTTTCAGAGTCCTATTTTCACTTTGTTTACATCGCCAGGACGGCCGGCTGACTCCTCCCCTCGTGTATAAAAGTTGTTTAATTGAGGGACTAGAGAAAAGAAGAATAACATACTGTACTCACTGCTTAACTGTGTTTCTAGATCACGCTCATTTCAGGTAAATTTACATGCAGTGTGAAGATACCAGCACAATAAAGATCGCTAGCATTAGCATGCTAACACAACAATGCAGCGCGAGTTGTTTTGGTTTCATGCTGGTGCTCAAGGGCGACATCTGCTGGATCAAAAAATCACATATAAAGTCTTTAAGGAACTGGTTGTGAACAGGACCTAAGCTCACATGGAGTCTGAGTAAGTACTGTATGTTCATGATTCTGATGTGGGTCCAGGGTGGCTGGTCTTTAAGCCGGGTCCTGAAGTCGTCATGTCTCAGATTAGAAATCGTCAAATTTGTGGGTTGTGTTCAGGGTCTTACCGGTGGGCCCGTACAGCTGGACCTCCAGAGGGGCCACTCCTGCTTTACTGCTGTCCACAGTGAAGGTCTGAGGGACGTGGGCTCGGACTCCACTCCCCAGACCAGGACCTGAACACTTCACTTTACTGGGATCCACCAACTCTCTCACTGGGACCCGGAACGGACTTCCTGCAACAACATTCAGAGACGACGCTGAAATCAGTTGTTACCGTTGCAACACAATCCTTCAAAATCAAAGTCATAGATGTTTTACCTGGAATAGGAAGTCCTCCAAAGGTGATGTTGACGTCGTACTCTCCGGGAGTGAAGGGTATGTACTCCACACTGCAGCTGCCGTCTTTGTTGTCCTTACATGACATCTTGGCCTCAGACGGACCCTCGATGGCCAGGCCGAGACCTCCAGTGCCAGCACCTCTGAGGAGACAGCAGAGCAGACTTTAGGAGGAAGTTTAAGATGGACTAAAGTCAGGCACATTTGTTTGATTACACCTCACCTGGTCTCGACCGTGAAGCGGTTTGGTTTGTTGACCAGTCCCTCCTCCAGACCCGGACCGTAGGCTCGGACTCGACTTGGATCACAGCCCTCAGTCACTGACACCCTGAATGGACTCTTGGGCACTGAGACGTCGTCAAACAGCACTTCAATCAGATGCAAACCTGCAGACAAAAGCATGAAGTCGGTTTAGCATGGAAGACTTGGCATGTTTGGACTACAGGGGAGTAGCACTCTTATGCTGCTGTCTCCGTCTCTGCCGGTGAAACGGGACGGGAGTTGGTGGGGGAACATTTGTTTTGGTTGTCTGTAAGAGGGACACATGCATTGAAGATTCTACAAAGTGGATCCATGCGTACAGGTTTCTAGCCCCGGCTAAAGGATCAGCTTTCCTCAAAGTTCCCATCTGACTGAGCCCCACAGAGGAGAGTATTTCTGTTCCCACAATGCAACGGGCTCCCGCATGTCACACATTACTATCAGTGGAAAACCATCTGCTGGAGCAGACCGGGTGCAGCTATTAATACCAGCCGGCTCATCCCTCCTTGCACTCGCAGAGCCTCTCTGTCTGCGTCCGAACAGCTCAAACACGTTTTACCTTCAGTAAACGTTTTACACCTTTACATGTCTGTTACTATGGAAACGCTGTGTTCTTAACTACTCTTCTTTTTCTGTTGAACCTTTATAAGAAGTACATGGCTGCAGAGTGGGCCAGGTCATAATGTAAAAAATACTCTACTATAAACTCTATAAATGTAACACTATTACTATCACATGTGGCTTTAATGACTCAGACCTGAAATAACCCCGAGCTCCAGCCGACAGGAGGCGTCCATTTAGGTCTGGTTTAGTAAAAAACACAATCTAAACACAATGAGCTAGTTAACAGGACTTTTCCTTTGAGTTACAACTTTGAATATGGCATGCTAATGTGTTAGCTTATGTGTTAGCATGCCAGGGTGTTTTTTTCTTTGAATGGCAATGGTGTTGTCTCACTTCTGTTTAAATTTGGACCCTGCAGAGAAACCACACACCACACATTAAGAGTCCTAAATATGAAGAAATCGTTCTGAGGTTTGAGTTATTGAAGCCACAAATTCCTCGCTCGCCTCCTTTCCTTTACTGTGGAGGGAAAAGATGAGTGACTAAAAGCCACAGAGCGCTCAGTTTCAACACTGTTATGTGTTGTTGTTGTTGAGAACATCAAACAAACAACAACAGAAACTTCTCATCTATCAGTCCTCTGAGCTGAAGGACTTAGAATCTTAACCCCTCCCGTTTATAAGAACTAGCATGCAAACCACTCTCACCGTCCTCGTATGGCGTGTACTCCACTCTGTAGGTCCCGTCTCCTTTGTCGGTGATGTAGGCGTCCGTGTTGGAGCCTGACGGGTTGGAGATGCTGGTTTTGATGTGACTGCCGCCGCTCTTGTAGTGGGCTCGGGCGTCCACGATGAAATGGGTGGTCACTTCTCTCAGGACCCCTGCGGAGACCAAACGCACATCCAGTTACCGTCCAGGTCAAAATCATTTGAATACTTTTCACTTCCATGCGTTTCAAACGATACAATCTCTTAGAGTAGACGCAGATTCTTCACAACAGGGTCCTAAGTCTCTGACTAGACTCTTCTCCTCTGTCGCCCCCCGGTGGTGGAATGAACTTCCAAACTCCATGTGATCTGCAGAGTCCCTCTGCACCTTTAAGAAAAAGCTAAAGACCCAGCTCTTTCATGAATACCTACTAACTTAATGATGATGGTCTCCATATTATTGATGATGATGATGGTAATGACAATGGTTTTTGTTTGATAACAACGACTTATAAGATGGTTTCTATACTGATTAGAGCTCTCAAGAACTGCCCTCAATGTTGTGCTTTGCCTCTGGTCACTTCCTGTCAGCACCTGTGTGTCCAATCAGACTCAAAGCTGATCGTTTGCTCTTACTGACATTGTTCCCTTTTTTCTAGATCCTTGCTTGTGTTGTTCTTACTCTCTGATGTACGTCGCTTTGGATAAAAGCATCTGCTAAGTGAATTGTAGAATAGTAGAGATTCTGATATAAGTTTGAGTATGAGCTCTTTATAAAACGTGATGACACCATGCTCACCTCTGGGCTCCACTCCCGGTCCCTTCACTTTGACTCCGCTGGTGTCGATGGCGGGGTCCACCTGCAGTCTGGCGGGGAAATTGGGCACTGGGTTTCCTCCGTATTTGATGGTGATGGTGTACATGCCGTGTGCTCGGGGGATGTAGGTGATGGAGTAGGTCCCGTCGCTGTTGTTCTGCACGTGGACTTCGGCTTTAGCCCCGGAGTCGGAGGTGATCTCGATGGTGAGCTCGGCCTCTCCCGCTTTGGAGCAGTCCACCGTGAACAGGCCGTCCTCGTCGACCTTCCCTCGCTCCAGGCCCGGGCCGCTCGCCGTCACCTTGCTGGGGTCGAACGCGGACTGGACCGCAGCCTTGAAGGGCGAGCCGGGGATGTGCTGCTCTGCGAACAGGATGTTGATGGCGTACTCCCCGGGCTCGGTGGGCAGGTAGGACACGGAGCAGGAGCCGTCCCCGTTGTCCTGACACTCGATCTTAGCCTCGCAGGGACCCTCCACCGTCAGACCCAGACCACCTGTGCCTGCTCCCTTGGTGTCTATGGCAAAGGGGGCGGGTTTACCCACAACCCCACCCTGAAGACCAGGACCATATGCCCTCACCTGGAAGGCACACAAAGAGCGAGGATACAGTCTGAGGGTCAGATCTACATCAGCAGCAGTTATTCATGAAAAGGTGTGACACTATGATTCAGCAGAGTGATGGCGTTGGACTCTCTTTATGGAGTTACAAACAGGATGAAGCGTCAGTACTTTAAACTCTGCAGGTTGAATGAATCATCTTCTCTTTGACTTCATTCATTCCTGTCTCATTAACTCACCTTTGAAGGGTCGGGGGGCATCATGCCCTCCACGCTGAACGGACTTCCTGGTACGGGGTTTCCGTCGTAGCCGATGTCCACTCTGTAAGTGCCTTCCTCGGGGGGAATGTACTTCACTGTGTGCAGCTCGTTGGCTGTGCTCGACTCCAGCTTGCAGGGGATTGGTCGACGTGACGGCGAGAGGATCTTCACGTCCAGTTTGCCCTGACCTCCAGCGCCCTGAGTGCAGACGGTGAACTCTTCGTCCTTCCCGACATCCACCTCTTTGATTGGCACAAACACAGACACGAGTTGTTAGTCATTTTTTAAGATTTTTATGGATTTAGGTCAAAATGACTAGGTGTAGCCTACGTCTGAACTCTGCTCTAAACTCAACCTGAACCTGACATCCTGTATGGAAACTGTTTTCCTTCTACATGTTCGATGTTTTCTCAGGTGTCCATGATGTCCGAATTTTAAACTTCAACTATCAACAAGAAGAACAAATAGAAGTCCAAGGCATCAAATATTCCATGAATTGTTGTTTGCGATTATCAAATATTACAGGAAACCTCCTGCACACGTTATAAATTGCACAAAAAGATTAGCAATGTTTTAAAATGTTGCCAGCGTCACCTGGACCTCAAATGGACCGAAAACACACAAAACAGGTCAATTATTCTCATTTAAAAACTATCAAAAACGATGGAACATTTTGTCAACGCTAGTAGAAACCACGAGACTGAGGTGTACTCACTGTTGTTCAGACCCTGCACCTTGATCTTGTTGAGGTCCAGTGGGGGGGCCACAGATATGTTAAAAGGACTCCTGGGGATGGGGTCTCCTCCATGGCACACAGTGATGGACATGTTCCCCTGATGAAGACACACGCTCTGAGGTTAACTCCAGGTCATTACTCATATATTGAGTCTGATATCAGACTCCAAGCTGGTGGTTCTTTACCTGCTGGACGGCCGTGTAGCGGACCGTGTACGAGTAGTCGTGGTTGTCGATGATCTCGAAGTCTCGGACGGCTTCACCTTTAGCCGCTGCGGTGTAATGGACCTCAGGTTTGGCTTTTCCTGCCCCCTTTGTGTAGATGGTGAAATGAGTCGGTTTACCCACCTCAACACCTGCAGAGAGGTCAGAGAATAAAATAAAATAAAACTGACAGTTTCCAACAGATCTGCCCCAAAGATGCGTAACTTGGGATGGCACTAGAGGTTACCGCTTGGTTTAATAATTTAAATTTAAACAATTCACAAACCCTGTTTTTACAGACAACACGCTCACCTGTCTTGTTGAGTCCAGGTCCTTCTGCTCTGACTTTAGCTGCATCATGGGAAGGATCCACCTTTATTCTGAAGGGGCTGACGGGGATTTCCTGTGTGACACCAAGAGAGAGTTTTTTAACTTCTGATTTAACAGAAAACATTTCCAGCAGCAGTTCACCTGTGCACGCTCTCACCTGATCAGCGAACAGCACCATGATGGTGTACTGACCGGAACCTGGGGGCGTGTACTTCACCGTGAATGTGTCGTTGTCGTTCTTGATGATGTCGAAGTCGATGTCTGCCTCTGCTGGACCGACCACACCTGGAGCACACTTGATCCCGATGCTGACGTCACCTGCAGGTAAAAAAAAAAGGTGATACACTTTAATGCCATCATACCTAAAATAAAAGAAGTCAAATAAATCATTAAAAACAAAAGGTGTGAAGGTCTCTCACCCTGCCCGGCCTCGCTGCAGTCCACAGTGAAGTACGTCGGCTCGTTGGCCTTCAGTCCCGCCTTCTCCACACCTGGGCCGTAAACCTTCACGTTCTCCGGATGGCTGCCTTCTCCGATTGTCACCTGAATCCAAATAAAAAAGTTTTTACAAGGTTAAAAAATAAAGACTCATCATGTTATATGCTCTGCCTACAAACAATGGTCACCACTGGCAAACATAAGACAGTGAAATTAAAGTCTGATAACTGAACCAACATCTTCAAATAAAACGTCAACTCACAAAATGTATTCTCTACAAGATACCTTTCACAGCTTTACTTGACATTTTTATCAATCAAATTACCTTCAATGGCAGACCAAAACACCTACACCACCTATTTTTTAAAGCAGATTTGGTTTAAACAAGGAACATGTTTATGTTGCACTGAAAAACACTACAACTTATTTAAATCATGGAGTACCTCAAGGTTTTATGCTGGGTCCTCTATCGATATATGTATTTAAATTTGTTGACTTTCTCAAATAAAAGACAATTCTTATTCATTCACATTTTTATGACAACATTGTGAAACATGGGTATCGACATCACATTTTAAAAAAACTTGAAAATAAGTCAATTGGTAGCTGACTTTAAAGAAAAAAATCAGGTCCAAGAGGAAGAAAAAAAGAAGACATGATTTTTTTTCTCCCTCAAATTCACAGGGCACAGTATCAGCATAGTTGTAGATTGATTTTGAATTCTTTGGCTTTTAATATACGTGACTGAATCTGATTTGTTTGTTTTTCTTACCCTGAAGGGGCTGTTGGGAACGTTGACTTCCCCCCATGTGATGATGATGGTGTGTTTGATGGGTTTAGTGGGAATGTAAACACAGAAGAAGGTGCTGTCTCCATTATCAGTGATCTGAATGTCGATGGGGAAACCCTCAGCGTCCTGAAAGCACAAACACAGGTTATCACCATCGTCATCATTAAACAACACAGAATCGTGTGATCAGACCTTTGATTCCCACCTGAGCATAGAGCTTCAGCTCCCCCCTGCCGGCTCCGCGGGTGTCGATGGAGAAATCAGCCGGTTTGTTGACGATGCAGCCGAGTGGCTCCAGACCCGGACCGTAACACTTCACCTGAGGAGGGGAGAACATTCAACTCTTCAGGTTTAACAGGAAGTCATTAGGTAAATATACCTTTAGTAATCAGTAAAGTTTGGTCGTACATTTTCTGGGAAGACATCGTTGGCAGCAGGGAGGACGTGGGCCATGAAGGGACTGTCCTTGATGTCCTCGTCGTCACAGATGACGTGCACGGCGTAGTCGCCCGGCTCAGTCGGCCAGTACCGCACATCACACGACCCGTCACCCTTATCATCGCACTCGATCTTCGCCTGAGAGGGACCCTCAATGGAGAAACCTGCACACAGTTTAAAATTAGTGACACTGACAAATTACATGTTAAGCCTCAATAAGGCACGCCCCCTTGGTCACCCGTCAGTCACTCTGAACAGCAGGTGTTGTTACATACCTAGTGTTCCCACCTCCGTGCCGATCGCCTCCACCACAAAGTCAGCACTCTTCCCCACCATCCCTGTCTCCAGACCTGGACCCCAGGCCCTGACCTTCTGAGGCCCCGCCTCCTCACTCACCTGGATCTCAAAGGGACTGAAACCACACAAATCAGAGGGTTAAAAATAAAATACTCAAACTCATATTTTTAGAGAGAGCTGCAGAGCAATTCACAACTCATGAGTAGGATTGTCACGATACCAGAAATTTCTGTTCTTTGGGTTTAAAATCTTTGGAGTACCTCAGGGTTCTCTCCTGGGTCCCCTGTAACTCTTCAGTCATGTAAGGTTAGACATTTCAGAGCTATGTGCACAATAAGAGGAGCTGAATATCTCACCTGCGTGGGATGCTATGTCCTCCCCAGGTGATGGTAACAATATATTTCCCTGTCATTACGGGGTAATAATTACACTCAAATATGCCGTTTTCCATCTCCAGGACCTTCACCGGCTCCTCCATGCCCTCTGGATTCAAAATAAAAACATCAAACACAATCAGTCCTGATCAGCAGGTACAGTGAAGTACATTTCAGATGTAAAAATTTAAAAAACATCAAGTTTGAATATTTTTTTGAGTCCTGCCGTCATACTTGGTCCCTTCACAGTGACTTTGAGCTCTCCACTGCCGGCTCCTTTAGTGAAAACTTTAAAATCTGCCACTTCTTTCACCCTCAGACCCTTCGGCTGCAGACCTCTGCCCGACGCTCTGCAGGCGTTTGGATTACTCGCTGTGAAGACCAGATTAAGAACAAAATATGTTAGGTACAAACAAATAATCATGAAAGTCAGAAACATTCACACATATTCATACGCCTGTTATTCCTTATAACATGAAACAAAGAATAAAGAAGACGTGTCTGTGGAATTAAAATCAAAGATGTGTTTTGATTAAACGTTAACCTCACTCTGATTCTTTCTCCTTTCAATCTCATACTTAACTGTAGAAGTAGAATGTGAAAATCTTTCACAATAAGCCAATAGTCTGATGTCATAAATCTAAATTAAACAGTGATAAAACAGAATAAACACACACACACACACACACACACACACAGATGGCTGTTAGTCAGCTGGTCGGGGCTCAGAGAAGCTGTTTGCAGAGGCTGAAAGGAGAAAAAAAAAACAGCAAAGATGATGAAAAGATGAAACAATGAGTCGGAAGGAGGAATAGTTCAGACTTTCATGAGTTCAAGATGTGAAAAGAAACAAAAGTGTTGGATAAAATGATCACAACTTTTGTGTTTAGGGAAAAAAGAGGAGATAAAAAACGATGATGATGAGCGAGGCCGAGAAGAGGAGGCCCTTGGGTCTCGTGATTTTATTTTATTATATATGTCTATGTATATATCTACATACATATATATATATATATATATATATATATATATATTTATTGACACACCTGCCATCAAAGTTCTTACCAGTCTATTGGTGTGCAAATCTCTACACATGGGTGTGACCCCTTGATGAAGACCATTGGGTGAAAACATAGTGATTAAACTTTTATTGGCATTGAGTGTTTTTGGATGGCCTGCACATATTTGAAGTTCATTTAACTACATTCCTTCTTTGATCATTAATCCTAAAACCATCCAGAGGGGGATCAACACTCGTACACATTCACTCAGTTTATATGCTGCAGGAGAAGAAGAAGAAGAAGCTGCTCAGGACGAAGCTGCACATGCTCAAAGCTGGGAAACCTCTGCAGAGGCTCGGAGGCAGGGATGGTTTTTAAGTCGAGGTGGAAGGAAACCAGGCGAGAGCGCAGGCAGGCTCCAGGTACACCCCCACCCCACAGTCTGTACTAACTTGGTCGTCTGGGTTTGGGTGGTGTTGGTGGGGGGGCCCTCCTTGTCTTGTCTGAGGGAGGGGTGTGCATGGATTGTGGTAAAATGGGCACAGGAGACCCCGGAGGTTGGATGCTCTGTGAAACTGAAGGAAGGTACAACAGTGAAGAGACATTTGTGCACAGGAGGACACAGACCTTTAAACCGGTTCAACACCAGACCAGTAAAACTGTCGATCCAACCAAACCTAAAAGCAGCGCTGTGACCATGTAGGGATCTGATAAAGACAAGCCTCAACTGCAAAGAGTTTAGTCAGAGGTCATGAATCAAGTCTTTGGCTAAGACAAAAACAACAGTCCCTAACCAAGACTGTAAATCTAAAGTCCTAAATCAAGTCGTAAGTACAAGATATGCAAGTCAAAAGTCAAGTCCAAGGGTATTTACTGAATGTCAAAATGGGAACCGTGTCTCAGTCTCCTTTTGGAGCAAAGACATGAGCAGTCGAGAGCCAAATTAGGTTGAAGTTTAAAGACAGGTAAGCCAACATTTCATCCATCAAGACTATGCAAGATCGCCCAGACATCTCCAGAAAGAGATGTCAAAATCAAGTCAGGTTCTTAATAAAGTGAAGGGGGGGCAACGTCAAGGGTTTGAGTTCAAGGTCATGTCCCAAATTAAGATTTGTAACCTCAGGAGGAGTTAGTACAACAAACCCACCAACCAGTGTTGAATCAAGTCCAGCTAAAAGACAGCCCGGGCCACAATAGGGCTAACGAGACCTTTTATCAAGGAAAGGCTAAATCCAAGTTAAGAGTGTTCAATATACATCAAAGTCAGAGACCAACTCTGTCGACAGACCAGAGGAGCATCAGGGTGAACACTGAACAGCAGAACCAGGAACCAAGACAACAAACATGAGACTCTGCAAATGAAACCTGAGGTCAAATACTGACGAGCAGGGCAGCGATCGTCCAATCAGACTGAGCCTTAGATCTCACATCATGGACGTAAATCTTCTCATTCTTCATCAATCTGCACACTGGATTTTAATGGCTGATTAGAAATAGATGCTGTTGAGTAGGAGATGATGGTTACAAAAGGAAGGGTCAAACATGAATTACACTCGTCATGTTAGATGATCTTCTACATGAAGTATCTGCAGGTTTCAGGGTCTCGTTATTGACTTAAACTTATTAAGAACACATTACGATGCAGTGGAAGTTTTCAACCTTTAAAGGATCAGACACATACTCAACAGCAGTAAGATCAGAGCTGATAAAACTCAGTGTGATAGAACAGATCAGTGAACTCTTACCCTCCGAGATGTGAACAGTGAAAGGGCTTCTGGGAATCTGCTGGCCGGCAAAGGTCACACAGACAGTGTGCGCTCCCTCCAGGACTGGAACATAGGTGCAGCGGAAAATACTGTCCCCTTTGTTTTCCAAGACAATCTCCACAGTGTCTCTCCGTCCATTTGAATCGACAATGATGACGCCCACATCTCCAGCCCCCGCCCCTGGACGGCAGACGGACGGACAAGAAGACGTTCAGAGACAGAGAGAAGATTGTGTCGCTTAGTTGACAGAATCAGAGAGTGAGGCGGTGCAGCTGACCTCAGTCTCAGCTCGAGTGTTTACCTGCAGTGTAAATATCAAAGTATGTCGGTTTGTTGGCCACGTTGCCCGTCTGCTGCAGCCCCGGCCCGCGGGCCTGAACTCTGGTTGGGTCGCCCATGGCCTTTGAAATGTTCACCATGAAGGGACTTCTGTCAATGTCCAGCCCGGCAAACAGCACCTTCACCTGGGAGGAACAGCGATAACCAGACCTGTTAGGGTTTCTTATGAGTCTATTATTCTACAACAATTCTACAATTCACTTAGCAGATGCTTTTATCCAAAGCGACGTACATCAGAGAGTAAGAACAACACAAGAAAAAAGGGAACAATGTCAGTAAGAGCAAACGATCAGCTTTGAGTCTGATTGGACACACAGGTGCTGACAGGAAGTGACCAGAGGCAAAGCACAACATTGAGGGCAGTTCTTGAGAGCTCTAATCAGTATAGAAACCATCTTATAAGTCGTCGTTATCAAACAAAAACCATCGTCATTACCATCATCATCATCAATAATATGGAGACCATCATCATTAAGTTAGTAGGTATTCATGAAAGAGCTGGGTCTTTAGCTTTTTCTTAAAGGTGCAGAGGGACTCTGCAGATCACATGGAGTTTGGAAGTTCATTCCACCAACGGGGGGCGACAGAGAAGTCTAGTCAGCGTCTTAGGACCCTGTTGTGTAACTAAAGCAGGGTCCACACTACAAGATCATCGGGACGTTTTTGGGCTTGAATGGTTTGAGGATCTTGTCAGATGTTCCTGTTGTTTGAGGTGTGGTCAGAGTGATCTGGGCCACACTGATTACAAATCGTAAATATTTATGATCTCATTTCCTGTTGTGTGGGGGGAATTCCGAGGCAGCTTGCTCTGTACCATGTTAAGCCTATAAATGATTTGCCTTTCACATTGATTTGTACGTACCTTGTGAAGCCCCTCCACTTTGGGCAGGTAGACCACAGAGTAGGTTCTGTTCTTGTCGTTGTTGGGGATCACTCGGGCCTGAAGGAAACAGAGAGCCAATCACATTCAGTTTCATTTCATTTTAATTTGTGTTTGATTAGATGTAGAATTAGAGTGTGTGCTTCCAACCTCCTCCGTGTGTCCCTCTGGATCCTCCACATAAACCAGGACTTCACCCAGCCCGGCCTCCACCGTCTCCACCAGAAACTCTGCTGGCTTCAGAACCACGTTACCTCGAGGCTCGATACCTGACGGACACATGACAGGAGGGAGGGTTAAAGAAAAGTGTTATTATTCCAACTAATCAGACATCACTGGGTTAAACCAACAAAGATCAGCTTATTTTTTATTATTTAAAAGAGATAGTCCAACAGGTCGACCTGTTTCTGTCAGAACCAGAGGCAAACAGGCAACTGCTTGGGGCCCCAGGACCGTAGGGAGGCCCTCAGCATTGAAAAACGTTACAACACAGCAGTGGCTCAAAATATGCAAATTTTGAAATCACAGTTGGAAACCTCCCTTTGACCAAAATGTTTTGCAAGAGCCACCATCTAAAACTCAAGAATGCACCACTGGAGGCCGGAGACTAGCAGTCGACTTGTTAGCTTAGCTAGCAAAGTAGCTGACTGAGTCGAGTGTGCACCACTGAGGGTCAAAGGTCAGGGACTTGTTAGCTTAGCTAGCACCGTGAAAGAACATAAATTAGCTACTAGTTCTGGTATGAAAACCTTAAAACTTGGTCCAGAGTTACTAAAATAAAGAGTCTCAGTGGTGAACTTTGGAGGTAAAACATTTTGCACTTTTTAGTGAAAGTCTTTATTTGTGATTTTTCACACTTAAATGTATAAATCAAGTATCTCCTCTGAAAATAACTCTGTGAGTCATGACTGTCTACAATGGGTGTAACACCCGAGTCCCACTGTCTGTGATGTTTTCAGAGTTTTCAGAGTCCTATCTTCACTTTGTTTACATCGCCTGGACGGCCGGCTGACTCCTCCCCTCGTGTATAAAAGTTGTTTAATTGAGGGACTAGAGAAAAGAAGAATAACATACTGTACTCACTGCTTAACTGTGTTTCTAGATCACGCTCATTTCAGGTAAATTTACATGCAGTGTGAAGACACCAGCATAATAAAGATCACTAGCATTAGCATGCTAACACAACAATGCAGCACAAGTTGTTCTGGTTTAATGCTGGTGCTCAAGGGCGACATCTGCCGGATCAAAAAATCGCATATAAAGCCTTTCAGATAATTTATAATAATGGTGATGAATGCTTCCCCCTGTGTGGCCCCAACAGACTAGAATCCCCTCAGGTTGGTATTTATTTTTCTGGTGTAGTGTTTCTTCCTCACCTGGTCCAAAGGCTTTAGCCCTCTTAGGGTGCAGCGTCTTCGCCCTCAGTGGGGCGCCGGGCTTCAGTTTAGATTTGGGGAACTGAGACAGGTAAGTCATGACAGAGTGCTCGTCCACATTAGGATCCACGATCTCCTCTGGAGCGATAACCTGAAGAAGAAACGAGGGGATGAACATGTGGTGAGCACATGAACAGATAAATCCTGATAATAAAAAATGAACATCAGAGCGCCTCATCCAAAAGACACTTTACAACATCAAACAATGTGATATCTGAACGTCTGAGTCAGAGAGAGTTCGGGAGATTTGTAGCAGCTGGCGACTTCATGAAAAGTCTGTTCGATGTAATAATGTTTAACACAAACAGAACAAAGTTAGCTCTCTGCTGCTCTCATCAATATAAAAAAAAACATCTGCATCACCTAGCTGTTAAAATTCCTCATTTATCACCCAGAGTCAAACACAGTAAAGTTCTCTAAATATGGAAACTCTGACTGAGCGTCTGCAGCTAACGTGTGGACAGTTAACGGTCCTTCATCGCTGCATCTGTCCGCTCGCTCTGCTGCTAATTTAAACTGCTGCTGCTGGATCACTGTGCACGCTGGAAATAGACCAGACCAACATTCAACACATTCAGAGCAAAGTTCCTTAACGACGTCTGTTGAGTCGAGCAGAACAACGACTCAGGGGCTCAACAAAAAGTCGATTAAATCATTAGTATTTATGACTCATTGTGAGAGATCTGATGTGGTGAAGAACTGTTCACATGTGTCTGTATTTAAGGGGAATGAGGAGGTTTAATCAGCCTGTGTGTGGATCTTTTTATTGGCAGATTCATCTCATCGCGTTTAACCCCTTCAACGCTGACAGGCCTGTTTTTAGTTCGTCTACCTTTGTGTTGTGGTAAAAGGTAAATGTTAAGGTAAAGTGTACAATCTATCCCACCAGTTTTATTTGACATTATTTTGTTCCTATACTGTCCTCCATGTTTTTCTGTCCTGTTTGCTCATTTACTTATTTTGTCCCTCGTTCTAATTCATTCATTTTATTTACTGAACCTTTTCCTTTTGTTTTGGTTTGTTTGTTTGTTTGTTTTTGTCTAAATCTGCTTGCAAAACTGTATCATACCACAGTTGCCCTCTTCGTTTGTGTGTATTGTGTGTGTGTGTGTGTGTGTGTGTGTGTGTGTGTGTGTGTGTGTGTGTGTGTGCACGTTTTGGTGAATTAAAGTTTTAAAAACATGTTAAGGTGAAGGTCATATGTTAAGTCAACAGGTGATGTGACGTTACCTGAGGCACTCCGAGCCAGTCGTCGGCCTGCTGCATGGCCTCTCTGGCGTTCTCCACCGGCTGACTGGGATCCCAAGTTTCCCAGTCTGGACACAGACCTGAAGGCAGCACGGACAAAAACCCAGAAATGAATCATAAAGAATCTGACACTGAACGAGATCCTGAATTTGTCCTGAATAACAAATTTGCCTCCCCCCGTTGGGTAACCCCACACCCCCAGGCTTTTTTCCCCACCTGGAGCACAGTTGTCCACCAGAGCTCCCAGCGCCTTCCCGTCCCTCCAGTCGCGGTGGAAGTTGTTGATGGTGAGCTGGGGCACTTTGTTCTGGATCCAGCCCAGCAGACGCTGTTTGGGGGTCAGCTTCTTGGCGTCTTCGTCGTCCTCGTCCTCCCACATCGGCATGGAGATGGAGTAATGCAGGATGAGGGTCCAGATCAGACCCAGGATCAGCTTCAGGTTCCCGTCCACGATGGCTTTAGAGTCTGAGGGGAGAAGGTTCACTGGTGACTAAAATGACCTGAATGAGAGTGTGGATGTTAATGTCTCTGAATGTCAGCGCTGTGATTGGCTGGCCCCGCCTCTCGCCCAATGACAGCTGGGATGCATGGATGGATCTGACTTTCACTGATGGACGCTTTGAAACAATTTGTCCACAATCCACCAAACAGCTGATGCAGTATTTCAGTCTAATATTTTCAGTAAACCAGCATTTTAACCTTTGAACACAAAAAACTTCCAGCCAATCAGGAGCTGTTAATTCCTCGCCTCATGGTGTTAAATTTCTTTCCCCTCTGACTGTCAATTTATTTTATTTTTTTAAATCAGCTGATTTTTGACCCAGTTTCTTTTTTTTTTCTGTTCCACATCGGCTCGCCAAAATAAAAGTTCACAGCTTCACAGTGTTTATATGCTGGCTGTCAGGAGATTTCTCTTAATGTGAAAGTTTCATCCATCGACAGCAGGATGATGTCATCAGCCGCTGTCTGAGGAATGAGGTCATACTAAATGAGAAACACATGCATGCACACACACACAATAACAAACACACACACACACACACACACACACACACACACACACACACACACACACACACACACACACACACACACACACACACACACACACACGTGGGAGTAGAAACAGTTTGTCTCCTTCTCTCTGTTTCAAACTTCAAACAGCTGACAGCGGAGAGAAACCAGGACGGACTCGGATCCTTTAACTTATTTTCAGTTCTGGATCCGGCCCGTCGTGTCCTCACCACATGAACTCGCGTCTCGTCTTTAACCGGAGCGATGAAAACCTCACGCTCCCTCGGAGGAACATTCGAGGTTAAAGTTTCTGACGGATCGTCCAATCAGAGGAGAGGAAACAGTCATAAATCATTTGGCTGTTTTTTTGCACATTGTTGGCTGAGAGATGAAAAAGTCAACAGAGAGTTTAACGGCGTCCAGTCCGGCGCCGTCAGACTCCGGCTGACAGTGAAGTTTAATAATGAAGGTCACATCGTTTCACCGCTTCAGTCTGACGTTTTATCTTCAGAGTTTTGATCGTGTTTGACTCAGATGAACTTGTAATCAGATCAGATGTTCTCTTTGTGATCTCTGAGTCAGAACCAGAATCCAGACCGACCCAGGTGATCACCCACCTGAAGTGATGCTTGACCTGTTTTCACTGTTTGACCTCCAGATGACCTTTGACCTCTGATCTTTAATCAGTCCTCAAACGTCAACAAACCACTATTACACAGATGTGTGTGTGTGTGTGTGTGTGTGTGTGTGTCTGTGTGTGTGTGTGTGTGTGTCTGTGTGTGTGTGTGTGTGTGCGTGTGTGTCTGTGTGTGTGTGTGTGTGTCTTTGTGTGTGTGTGTG